CGACCAAGCCTGGTCATGGCCTCAGAATCTTTCTCAGTGCAGTATGCTAAACATCACTATAATATTAACAGAGCTGACAGAATTTGAAAAGTATTTGTCATACCTGGAATATGCCTTTAATGATCATTATTAGAAATTTGTATCATTTAAAGAAAAAGCATTATACATACATATGTATATGCACATATATATATAAAGATAGAATAGACTACAACATAGACTACATTATATTGTACATTAGTAAAGAATAGAATATATTAAAACAATTCAACATAGGAAAAAATGCATAATTCCAGGTTATTTCTTTCCTGCATCAGATTGGATGTATGTCTTGGTGACAGTAGTGATTCTCAAAATGGGGCAATTATCATTTATGGTTTGAGATTAGAAACCTGTGTAGGAAACCTCTCAAGAATGTGACTATGGAGGAAAAGTAAATTCTTTCCATCTTTGTAGTAAAAGCGAAGAGTAAAAAGTAAATTCTTTCCATCTTTGCCTTCTCTTCCTCAAAAACTATAATCCTAGCTCTGACATGGGAAAATGTCACTGATTGCTTAATATTAACAATCATACAGGAAAGCAAATAAAAGGAAAATAGAAAAGAAAAGAAAAGCAGGGCATTTTTCAATCTAGGAGATAGAATATCTAAAACTTTCATGCATTGAAAAAAATTTTGTAAAATTTTGAAAGATTATAAACCTAAGAATGTGTCCCTGAAATGCATGTTATAATATGATAAAAAGTGGTAATTTGGTCACAGTCTTTTATACAAGTGAATATGTAGGGAAAATGATGCATTAAGTAAAAACCCACCAGTCAACAAAAGTACCGTTGGTAGTTGGCAAGACCTATAGACAAGGTGGGGAATGGCAGCTACATTTTGCCTGGCTGATGACAGCAGTTCAGCTTGTATAGCAACAACATCCAAAGGCAAGATAATGATCAGTAAGGGAACAAAAAAATAAAATTCAATGCAGAGAAGGAAACAGAGTCCACACCTGGGTATCATGTCTTCATTGTTGTGGTGGTTGTTAAAATGTTGTCAAGAGGTTCCTCAAATTACTCTCTTCAAAACCAGTTAATTCTCTTTTCTCTCTCATAATAGTGTGGCAACTGATAGCACTAAGCACAAAGCCACATGTATTTATGTAATTATTATTTGCTCAGAAATTGTAATGCCCCCGATTTCAAATCCAAGAGACCACCAAGGAG